AAGAGGTCTCGCTCCCTGAGCAGGTGGATATCATTGTCTCGGAGCCCATGGGCTACATGCTCTTCAATGAGCGCATGCTCGAGAGCTACCTCCACGCCAAGAAGTACCTGAGGCCTGGTGGTGAGTGTCCCTGCTGGCACGGGGCCTGGCACCAGGGGTGCACCCACCGGGGCCCCTTTGGGGCGCCCCTGGCTGCTACTCAGTGGGCACAGTTGTGGTTCAGCTCTCTGCTGGCCTGTTCGATGGCCTGCGGTGCTAAGGGCATTTGGGCTTTCATGCTTCCCTTCCTCCTTCCCCCCCTTCCCTGTTCCCTATGCCCATCTTGCCCCAGACAAGGCCACACAGCCACTTGCCCAGCCCGCCTGGACAGGGTACTGAAGGGCTCCTCTCAGGTCCCCTGAGAGCCTCCAGGGTGCCTGCCATCTCATGCCCTGGTGTTTTGGGGATAGTGTCTGCTGGGAATGTGACAGATATGGAAGGTGTTCTGTGGTCAGCACAGAGGAGTTGACCTATCGTCTTCATTCCTCACCTGGTAACCTTGCCTTCAGCCAGGGAGATGGGGCAAGGGTCAGTGTGTTGCAGGGGCAGCTAGCTGTCTAGCATGCCCATCAGTGGCCTCTTGCTTGTGGCACTGTGCCTCTCGTCCATGCTCCTAGGTCATTGGGTCACTGTTTACACCTACCCATCTGTATCCCTGTGCATTTGTGCCCAGCTCTGGAGGGGGGATCTGTGCTTGGCCCTAAACATCTGATGATGTGTCCATTTCCTGGTTCAGGTTGTGTGACTTTGAGTATTTCTGTACAAGCAGGGATTGTGTGTATGCGTATGTGCATGTGGCACAGGAGGACCTGGCCAGGACAGGTGTGGGAAGCCAGCAGCCTGGTGGCCCCAGGGTGGGCAGGGGGGTTGGTCTGTGGGGAAGCACCTATTTGGTCCTCTGACCTTCCTGGATCCAGGCTGCAGGGACCTGCCTTGGGCTTCACTTCTGGAGGTGGGAGGTGACTACCATTTCTCACAACGGTGTCCTGTTTCCCAGCTGTGAGTGGGAAGCCAGGTTTCGCTAGGGGGTTGTCTGGACCCACTTTCCTCCCATTCTGCCTTTAGGTAGCCAAGCCTGCTGGGGGGGGCCGGCCCAGCAGAGTGGACTCCTCCTTATGGGACATAAGGACAGACAGGAGTCAGGCTCTGGTGGGCAGCTGAACATTCTGCCCCACTGCTCACACAGCCTTCCCAGAGTGAGGCCTGGAGCCAGTGATGCCCCCACTGCCCTGCCTACATGAGTGTGTCTTCATTTGATCTCAGGAAGCTCTTTGGGGGATTGAAAAGAACCCTCTTCCCAGCTGTACACATTTAGGTGTCTTTAGGACTGGGGCATGATGCTCCAAGTGACTAGCAGACTCCTGGGCAGGCAGCCCAGCGAGTGGTCTCTTAGCCAAAGTAGACCATCTCCCCTCCCCAACCCCAGCCTGAATCGTGCTAGTACCTTGACTCCCCCTCACCCCCAATAGGAAAAGGGAGGGAGGCCCACACCTGGAGGCCAGGTGACTCGGCCCTAGACTCACTGAGGCAGCCACTGGCCCTGACTCATTTGTTCCTTGAGTCACACAGTTGGAGGACCCTGTGGCCCCTCCCATTTCAAGTCATGTGCCAGACCAGGGTGGCTAAAAGGCCCACCATGTCTGCCAGGAGCCTGGACAGTCTCAGCTGTGGGTATTCAGCTGACCCTCCACCCAGCCTCTGGCCTCAGCTGAGGTCCCTATGCCATAGCCTGGGGTTTAGCCTTTGTCCAGAGAACTTTTCTTTGCTTTCCCTGGCTGCATTTCCATGATGACAGCACCTAAGCAACACTGCATGGCTTATGGAGCAGGGTCCCAGGCGTCACTTGCTTACCCTGAGGCTCTGGCGGGTTCCTTCCTGTCTCCCAGCCCTAGTAATGGGACATAAGGACAGGCTCTCCTTTCTCCCTGGCTGGCTTTCTAGGTTTGCAGGGATAGTGCATGTCAGGTGCTCATTGGCTTCTGGCACAGTAGGTGCCCAGTACCTCTGTATTATACCAATGCATGAATGAATGGATGAATGAATGAGAGGCTGGGAAGGCCCAGGGTTGGAGGTCCTGGGGCCCTTTGGAGGCTCTGCCAGGCCCTGCAGAATGTCCCACCATGACGCCAGCACCCTCCGTGCCTCCCAGGAAACATGTTCCCTACCATTGGTGATGTCCACCTCGCGCCCTTCACGGATGAACAGCTCTACATGGAGCAGTTCACTAAGGCCAACTTCTGGTGAGTGCCCTGCGTGTCCTGCCTTCTCAGGGATGGCCCTGCCTCTTTTTTTCCTTATTCTCAGTAGGACCTGAAAGACTTGGGCTGGACGAGGGCCAGCTGGGAGAGAAGACAGGCTACCCACCTGCCTCTCTGCTGCTGGTGACCTTACTGTGGGGGTTGGGGCTTTCTGCAGGTACCAGCCATCTTTCCATGGAGTGGACCTGTCAGCCCTCCGAGGTGCCGCTGTGGATGAGTATTTCCGGCAGCCTGTAGTGGTGAGTGGGGCACCCAAGGTGCTATCACAGTTAGCACTGGGCATGGCACTTCTCTGGGGGGCTGGAGGGGGCGGGTCCTGTCAGTCCTTGTGCAAGCTGCAGCCCTAGGGACACCACTTTCTCTCTGAGCTCTCCCTTCTGCCCCTGAACAGAGTTCTCTTACAGATGTGTTGGGAATAAAGTGGCAATGCATATAGAGCACTTAGCACACAGTAAGCATGCAGTACACGTGAACTGTTATTAGATGAATGGATCCTTGGTGAACTGATTTTATTTGACTGATTTTAATTATTGAACTGATTATATAGACCCAGGGTACACAAATCAAGAAAGTATAAAAGTGAAAACCCTCCCTGCTCCTGTCCCCAGACACAGTTCTCCTTCCAATAGGCAAACAATATATCATGTATATCTTTTGAGAAGTGTTATACCTAAATGTACATATACAAATGTGTATATATACCTTTTTTCTCAAATTATATGTAGCATATTCAACATACCATTCTGTCTTTCTCTGTGGTCAGAGAACATGCACTGTATGATTTTAGTCCTTTGAAATTGAGAATTGCTTTATGCCCATTATGAAGTTTCTTTTGGCTTATGTTCTACGTGTACTTGTTGAATACAGAGGTATGTTACTTTCAGATCCCATTTGTTAATCATGTTGGTGAAATCACTATCTCTATTATTACTCATTGTAGATATAATTATCCATTTAGTTCTGATACTTTCTGCCTTATATTTTTGGATACTACATTATTTTGTGCATACGGGTTTAGGATTATTATATCTTCCCGTTGGATCGGTCCTTTTATCATTATAAAAAGTGTCTCTACCTCAAGTGGTATTTCTTGCCATATGCCTTTTTATTTCTGATGGCAGTTTAGCTACTTTGGTTTTATATTGGTTAATCTTTGTACAATATATATTTCTCCATCCTACTTTCAACCTTTTTGTTTCCTTATCACTTGAGGTTGGTCTCATGTAAGTAGCATGTATTTGGGTTTTTGTTTTTTAACAAGGTTAATGTTTTCTGTCTTAAGGGAATAGCCTATTTGCATCAAATGTAATTGCTGCAAATAGCCTATTTGCATCAAATGTAATTGCTGCTTTTTATGGATATAAGTCTTTCATTTTACTATTTTTCTATTTCTCCTGTTATTTCTTTTTAACTCTTTTCTTGCCTTCTTTTAATACATTATAATTGTTTTTCCTTCTTGATGTCAGGTGCTCATTGGCTTCTGGCACTGTATGATTTTAGTCCTTTGAAATTGAGAATTGCTATTAGATCCCATTTGTTAATCATGTTGGTGAAATCACTATCTCTATTATTACTCATTGTAGATATAATTATCCATTTAGTTCTGATACTTTCTGCCTTATATTTTTGGATACTACATTATTTTGGTGAAATCACTCTCTTTCACTAGTTTTGAGAGACTCTTGAGCAGTATCTCTTTAAATACTTCCTCCGCACCATTTTCTTTCTCCTGGGGTTCTGGTTGCATGTACATTACACCTTTCACCATGTCTCAAGTGGTTCTTATATTCTTTTCTATATTTCCATATTTTATTCCTCAGTTGCTTCATTTTCATATTTTCTACTGATTTATCTTCCAGTTCCAATTCTTTGTTATGTCTAATCTGATTTTTTAATTCTTTTTATTTTTTATCTTTTTTTATTGATTTCGGAGAGGAAGAGAGAGGGAGAAGAATTTCATTTCTCTGTGAAATTCTCCATATTTTCACCTTCCTTCTTGAACATATTAATTATAAGTCTTTGATCACTTTTAGTATTTGGATAAGTGGTGTGTTTTTGTTGTTTATTCTCTTGGTGTTTGGTTCTCATCCTTTGGTCCTATCTCTTGGTGCCTGGTTATCAAATGCCAAAATGCAAAATTGTAGAGGGTCTGGATGATGTTTTTTCTTTCAAGGATTTGTTTTTTCAGACAAGATCACTTGGTCCTGTCATGCATTTGAGTGAGATACTTCATGGCTACTTTTCAGACTCTGTTGGTATATTTCCTGGGCATTAATTCTCAAACATTTTAATCTTAGGTTCCCTTTACATTCTTAAAAATGGAGAACTCCAAAGAACTTTTGTTAATGTGTGTTATATCTATTGATATACTGTCTGTGTCTATTGATATTAAAAACTAAGCCCGGCCAGTGTGGTTCAGTGGTTGAGTGTCTACCTATGAACTAGGACAGCGGTCGCCAACCAGTGGTGGTCCGTGAGGTCCGAAAGGTTGGCGACTGCTAAACTAGGAGGTCTCGTTTGATTCCTGATCAGGGCACATGCTCAGGTTGTGGTCTTGATCTCTGGTGGGAGGCATGCAGGAGGTGGCCAATCAGTGATTCTCATCAATGTTTCTATCTTTCTCTCCGTCTCCTTTCCTCTCTGAAATCAATAAATAAACATTTAAAAAAAACACACACACAGAAAAACAAAACCTAAGCCCAAGAAATTTAAAAATATTTATTAACTCATTTAAAAAAACAACAGTAGTGAAACCATTGTCTATTAACATAAGTAGCATTTTTAAGAACAAAAACTGTTGTCCAAAACTTTGCAGTGAGGATACTGGCATTTTAAATTTGGATTCCTCTGTTGTGATATCACAGATGAGTTAAATGAATTTGGGCAGAAAACATCTGAGTCTTATTGTGAAAATAGTTTTGACCTTGGGTGCTTTGGAAGGAACCACACTTTGAGAACTGCTGCTGCTTTAGGGTGTAGCCTGCAGTGGTTTATGTGGGCCCTGGTTCTAACCTCCCAGCACTAATATGGTGCTGAACCTTTCCTTAGCTTTTTAGTGCCTTCTGCTTGGTCTCTTGTCCTCTAACTCCCATCCTACACACAGCTCAGGAATTGGCAAATGCCACAAAGTGAAATCACATGCAGCACATGCACCTTATATTTCCACATTTCCTTTAGCACAGTGGTTCTCAACCTTGGCTGCACATTAGAATCACCTGGGAATCTTTTTAAAATCCTGATTTCTGGGCCTCATCCTCCGGAAATTCTGTTTCTTTGTTACTAATGTTGTGGCCTCACCACATAACAAAGAAACAGAATTTCTGGAGGATGAGGCCTAGAAATCAGGATTTTAAAAAGATTCCCAGGTGATTCTAATGTGCAGCCAAGGTTGAGAACCACGCTTTAGCATCTTGGCTCCTTGTGTCCCAACTGCCTTGGTAACCCTGAGCCCCCATTTTGCTTTCTCGACCCAGGGAAGCCGCTGAAAGGTCCCATATCGAGAGGGAAAGGCACAGGAAAAAACACCTCCCTTCTTTCTAGGATCTTGGCCCCCAAAGCTTTGGCTGCTGCTATTGCTCTCCAGTGCTTTCAAGCAACTGGGTTTTTTCCTTTGTATTTTATTCGGCTCATATAATTCTTGGCAAGAATGTAAGTCTGATAGAAAATCTGCATCGTAGCTGTGATTGGACATCAGCACACAGTTCTCTGACTTGCTTATCTCAGAGATCTTTCCCCGTATGTTCATAAAGAGCTTCTTTGTTGTTTGTCACATACAGCCTTTTATGGATGGACCACCAGTTTAATTAGATGTTTTCCAGTGTGTCACTACTATAGACAGTCTGTAATTAGATGTGTGAATTTGTACATGTGCACATCTATCTGTAGGTTGAACTCCTGGGAGTGGAAGTCTTTAATGCATATGAACACTTGTTATTTTGAGAGCTGTCATCTAATTGTCCTCCATGGTGTGGTAAAAGTTCATCCTCCTCCAGCATGTCTGACAAGGGCTAACTGGTTTGACCTGAATGGCCTGGAGGCCATGGCCAGACTCAGAGAGAAGAGCAGGACTCTCCCTTGCCTTGCTGGCCCCTGAGCTCGAAGCCAGGTCACCCTTGTGGTCTTTCCCAGGACACATTTGACATCCGGATCCTGATGGCCAAGTCTGTCAAGTACACGGTGAACTTCTTAGAAGCCAAAGAAGGGGATTTGCACAGGTACCAGCCCTCACACCCCTCGTCCTGGGCCACTGCTGGCTCTTGCAGGCATTCTACTGCCCCAGGGCAGGCAAGTGGGCCAAGGTCTGGGACTCTGCACCTGGCCCCACCCCTCTTCTCTCCTACCAGCCTCCGTTCAGCTTCCCCAGTAATCACTGCCCTTTGCTTTCCAGGATAGAAATCCCATTCAAATTTCACATGCTGCATTCCGGGCTGGTTCACGGTCTGGCTTTCTGGTTTGACGTCGCATTCATTGGCTCCATGTGAGTTCAACGGAGCAGAGCATGCTGTCCCCAGCCCCTGGGACCTCTCTGCAGTTGTGAACCCCAGGCCTGGCTGGTTTGGATGCTGACTGGGGGCTGGGAGGGCAGGACAACCCTCCAGGTTCCCCTGTCCCTCCCAAAAGACAGTGAGAGTTTGCCCTGATTCAGAGACTGTTGTGAAAAGGGAGAGTGTCCACCTGTTTTGAGTGACTATCCTTCACAGGACCTGGTCAGTCTTTGGCATGTATGTCAGGGTGAACGAACACCCCGTGACTGTGGTCTCCTTGTTGTGTATGTGTGTGGGCACGTGATTGGGACTACCTGGGTGGTCAGCCTGTCTTAGCTCCAGGGCCCCAGAAGACCTATCAGAGAGGGCAGACACCTGGGGAGAGCTCCTGGTGCACAGGGTGGTGGCTCCAGCCCAGTCAAGTTCATGCCTGTCCCTTCTTGGCAGAATGACTGTGTGGTTGTCCACGGCCCCGACGGAGCCCCTGACCCACTGGTACCAGGTCCGGTGCCTGTTCCAGTCACCACTGTTTGCCAAGGCTGGGGACACGCTCTCAGGGACATGTCTGCTTATTGCCAACAAAAGGTGCAAGCTGCCACCCTGGGCTGGGGGAGGAAGGGGTTCATCCACCCAGCCAGCTCATGGCCCTCAACCCCTGCCCTCTCTACAGACAGAGCTATGACATCAGTATTGTGGCCCAGGTAGACCAGACGGGCTCCAAATCCAGTAACCTCCTGGATCTGAAAAACCCCTTCTTCAGGTAAGATGGGCCCTTGGCCTGCATCAGGGGGAGGGGGCTTCTCCTGGCCTGCAGCCCCTTGGCCCTGCCCATGCGTCCGTCTCTGCTGCAGATACACAGGCACGACACCCTCACCCCCACCTGGCTCCCACTACACATCCCCCTCAGAGAACATGTGGAACACAGGCAGCACCTACAACCTCAGCAGTGGGATGACCGTGACTGGTGAGCAGGTCCCTGTTTGGGGGAGCCACTTCCTGGTCACACCTACTAGCACTCCCTGGGTAAAGCTGGCAGTTCTGGCCCCTGGAACCCCGAACAGAACACTGTCCCCACCCCTGACATCTCCCTCTCTGGACACAGGGATGCCAACTGCCTACGACCTGAGCAGTGTTATCTCTGGCGGCTCCAGTGTGGGCCACAACAATCTGATTCCTTTAGGTGAGTGTCCCTGGGTCTGGGGAATGGGGGGAGGGTTTGCTGCCCACGATGGCCCATGTGCTTCGGCCTTCTGTATCACCTTTTCCTCTTCCTGGGGCTCCTGGCTGAGGTCCTCATTCCTTTCTGCCTCGCTCTGCCACTGCTGCACTCCCCCTCCCTGCACCCTGGTGACAGTGTGAGTGGGAGTGCCTACCTCAGGCAGAACATGGGCCTGAGCTGGCTGGGGGCGGTGACGCCGTCTCCCTTCCTTCCTCCCTCTGCTGCGCAGCCAACACGGGGATTGTCAATCACACCCACTCCCGGATGGGCTCCATAATGAGCACAGGGATTGTCCAAGGTAATGGAGGGGGAGGGTCACCTGGGTGTGAGCATGCTGACTGCTGGGCCACCCACTGGCCCTCTCGCCTGCTCTCTCTCTCCCTGTGACTCTGCTGTGGGGCTGGGCAGGCGAGGGGGCAGAGCTGTCCCTCAGTGCCCATGTCCTGCTCCACAGGGTCCTCCGGCACCCAAGGCGGCAGTGGCGGAGGCTCCAGCGCCCACTATGCAGTCAACAGCCAGTTCACCATGGGCGGCCCTGCCATCTCAATGGCCTCACCCATGTCCATCCCAACCAACACCATGCACTACGGGAGCTAGGCCCCTCCAGTGGGGAATGGACTGACAGCACCAGGAAACCAAATGAAGACCCTGCCCACCCATCCCTCTGCCCGGGCGGCTTTCACCCTGTACTGGAGAAGCCCAAACACCAGTCACAGTCCTCTTTGCTATGGGAACTTGGACACTTTTTTACACAACATTGCTGCCGCCGCTCCCACCCCACCATCCACCACATCTTGGCTCTGAGCGCGTGTCGCTGCCATATTTTACACAAGATCATGCTGTGGGAGCCCTGTTCCCCCCTCCTGCCCTCTCCATCCTGACCTGGACTTAACATCTAATGGAACAGGCGTGTCTAGGCCTGACAGCTGCAGGCCCTGCTGGCAGGTGGCAGGGAGCAACTAGCCCTGCCCAGTTCCCCGGCGCCTGCCCTCCCTTGCCTATCTCTAGTGGGAAGGCAGTCCTAGCTAGATGGGGCCTCCCCTTCAACTACCAGGCGTTGGTCACAATGGGCGTGACATGCTGCTTTTTTTAATTTTATTTTTTTACAAAAAGAACCAGTGTCAATCCACAGACCCTCTGGAAAAACCAGGCCGGCCGGGCCGAGCCAGCAGCCCCTGTCCCCAACTCAGAGGCTCGGTGGTGAGGGGTGGCCCTGCCAGGTCTTCAGGACAAGGTGGGGCCAGGCTTGTGTAGCCCCACAGGCCCCTCTCACAAAAGGGTTCACCTCACACTTGAATGTACAACCCACCCCAGCTGTTGGGAAGGCCCTCCGTCCAGCCCCTGCCTCTTGCTGCTGTCCTGTCCCTGAGCCTGTCTGGGTCCCCCTGCCAAGAGCTAGAATAGGAGGCCTGTGGGCCTGGAGGGGAGGAGGGTCCCTGTCAGCCACTGGGGCAGACACAGAGAAACCTCAAGGACATGTCATGGAAGGCGTCCTTTCTCCTTGTAGCTGACATTAGGCCTGTGTATTTCCCTCCGTATTTGTAGATGCTCCAGTCCCTACTATGATGATGGCATTTTGGTCCCTTCTCAGTCTGGGAAGGGGCCTTGCAGGGATATTTCCCTCAAAAAAAAAAAAAACAAACAAAAGGGTTCACCTCACACTTGAATGTACAACCCACCCCAGCTGTTGGGAAGGCCCTCCGTCCAGCCCCTGCCTCTTGCTGCTGTCCTGTCCCTGAGCCTGTCTGGGTCCCCCTGCCAAGAGCTAGAATAGGAGGCCTGTGGGCCTGGAGGGGAGGAGGGTCCCTGTCAGCCACTGGGGCAGACACAGAGAAACCTCAAGGACATGTCATGGAAGGCGTCCTTTCTCCTTGTAGCTGACATTAGGCCTGTGTATTTCCCTCCGTATTTGTAGATGCTCCAGTCCCTACTATGATGATGGCATTTTGGTCCCTTCTCAGTCTGGGAAGGGGCCTTGCAGGGATATTTCCCTCAAAAAAAAAAAAAAGAAAAAGAAAAAACAAAATAAACAACGAAATGTGTTTCAGCACAGGCAATTTTCTTCTACTTCTGCTCCCCCCATTTCTAACACCCCCAAACTTGGATGTGGTGGAGCCAAGGGTGGGCACAGCTGAGGCTGGAGTGACCCTTTGCTTTCCTGCTGGACCCTCGGGGGAAGAAGGCCCAGCAGGTGGCCCGTGGGGCAACAGCTGCACTGGAAGCTCCTAGTTCAGCCACCGTCTCCCACCTTTATATAAATTCTCTGAATCACCTTTGCATAGAAAATAAAAGTGTTTGCTTTGTAAGAAAAGTCTGGAAAGTAGCAGAGTGATCTTGAAATGTCAAGGGAACCTTCACTCATCATCTTGGGGGCAGGGCAGGCAGTGTCCCTCCTGTTAGACCTGAAAGAGAAACTCTGCCAGTGGCTCTTGCAGGGCAGAGGCTGGAAGCCCTTTAGCCACAGTTGGAAACAATTCCTTACCTGTAGCCTCAGGCCTTAGGATGTCATAGGCCTTGGCGGGGTGGGTGTCAGGACTACGTTTGGGTGCAGAGATGTGTCCTGGTGTGCAGGTGCCATGTGCTCCAGAGGCAGTGGCTGGAAAAAGTAAAACTGAACCCAGACCCCTGAGGTTAGCATCAGGGCCAGCAAGCTCACCCCCAACACTGAGGTCCAACTGACCACCCCAGACCCATACCTTACAACCCATGGCCAGGAGGGCGTGGAGTAGTACGACGGCAGATAGCAGCATGGAGGCCACCAATCTGGTGTCCTCGCGGACAATGGGCCATAGGGTGAACACCAGGCCAGCAGCTGACAGGGCCAGAGCCAATGCCCCAAAGAGCCACTGTAGCCATGGGACAGGGATCAGCCACAGGACCTGGGGACAACATGGGCAGGTAGCTACCAGGTTTCTCCATGGCACAGGCCATCCCCCACCCCCTGGGGCCTTACTCACCACAGTGGGAATGAAGATGAAGAGGGAGTAGCCATAGAAGCACACAGTCTCCAGGAATGTGTAAGGCCCCATACGCTCCCGGACGCCCTTGCGCCACTGCAAGAAGGCCCACAGTGCCAGTGGCACCAGCCAGGCGTAGCAGTAGATGGTGATGCCAGCCACCGTCACTGGGGGGCAAGGTAGGCAGTCACCTCTGGGGCCCCATGGCACCCCTAGCCCCACCAGGTGCTGGGCCTTGCCTACTTTGCTTACCTTTGTGGAACTGGGGGCTGTAGTGGATGGAAGAGTCCCTCCTCTGGGCCAGCACCACTGTCAGGTTTCCAGTAACGGCCAGGACAAAGGCCAGTGTGGCGCAGATCCAGAAGGGGCCTGCAGGTGGAGTGTGTCAGGGGCCCAGTCACAGAGCTTCCAGGACAGGTGACTTGTCCTGTTTTGTCCCAGTTTTCCAGGCTCTGGGCTGCCTCCACACCCACCACTCCACTGACCTGACTTACACCACCCATATGACAACCTGGTGGTCGAATCCAGTGCTGGCTCAGTCCTCATCTTTCTTGGCCTTTCAACAGCCTTTGATGCAGCTGACCCCCTCCCTCTGGGAAGAGTCCACACTCTGGCTTCAAAGTCTTATGTCACTGGCAATTCCTTAACTTATTTCACTCCCTGACCTCTAATGGGGAGCTGGCTGGGCCCAGTCCTTGGCCCCCCCTCTGTCTATGTTCACTCCTTGCATGATCTTGTCCAACCTCAGGGTTTTGTGCTACCTCTAGGCCAACAACTCCCAAATGTCTCAAGACCAGGCCTCTGCCCTTAACCTCAGGCTTCTATTCAATGTTTTCACGTGTGCACCTCCCTTTCCACCCCACCACACTCACTCACTCTTCCCTCAAACCTGCCCAGCATTTCCTACTGATAAATAGCAACTTCACGCTTGGCATAGTCCAGGCAAAAACCTTGGCACCCTCCTTGGCGCCTCTCTTCCCACCCTATATCTAGTGGGTTAACAAATTCTGTCAGCCCTGCCCTTCAAGACATAGACCCGAATCCAACCATTCGTCTCTCTCCCTGGGGCCTGGGCCCACGCCCACACCCACACCCACACCTCCTCCCTCCCCCAAGATCTGGACCACAGTAGTTGTCTCTTCCCTGGCCTCCCGGCTTCCACCCTCTCACCCGACAGTGGTCAGAGGGCACCTAGGAACACTTAGCTCCCTTACTGAAACTTAGGAGGTTGTGCGGTCTGTCACCAGGTGGTGGCCTGGCAGGTTCTTCTGCTCCAATGACAATACTGCCTACAGTTCAGGTGTTTTTCCACTACAGGGCTTATGCCCCTTCTGGAATGTTTTTCCCTGAGTTCTCCCTAGCCCAACCCTGACACCAACAAGGCTCATTCCCTCACCCTCCTCAGAGGGTCCTTCCTGACCAACCCACCCAAAATAGCAACTGTCATCCTCTGAAATGACTGCTTCTCTGCAACCTCCGATGTCTCTGTCTCCTTGAACAGTGTAAGTCTCATACTCTCCGTGAGGGGCTCCGCTTTCTTCTAAGCTGTGCTATAGGGTCAGGCACACAGTTCACATTTGCTGAATGAATCAAATGAGCTAAAAGCATAACCTCACTCACCATACAGGTCTGGGCGATTCCGCAGATGGTGCCGCACAAAGCTGTGGCCAGGCCGGGGTAGCAGCGATCCTTTAATCCGGTCCAGAACCTGGGGGCAAGGCCGGGCACAGGATGGAAGCCTGCTGGGGCTCCCCACCCACAGAGGAAAGGGGCCAAGCTCCTCCCCTGACCTTAGAGGCTCCCCTGCTGCCCTCCCTCCTCCTCTCCACACCGCTTGAAAGGAACCCGCAATGTCCTCTGGAATTTTGATGAGCTGTTCCCATGGCCTGGAGCCCCTTCCCCTGACCAGCCCCACTCAATAGACCATGTCCCACCATTCTGAAAGACTTAAGGGCCTCCATCTTCCTCTTTGCAAGGCTGCCCTGGGCTGCCGGCCTTGCTGCCTCCCCCAGCCCCAATAAGGATAGACAGGCCGTGGGCATTCTCTCTCCCGAATCTTTCTCCAATAGGCCCTCTTACTCTGTAGCCCTGGTTTATTATCACCTCTCACCCTGGCATGGGGCCTCTGATCCACCTTCCATGTTGCATATCTGCTCTATACCCTCCACGACTCCCCAGCACCCAAAGTCCTGCACATCCCTCACAGGTCCCTTTGTGATCTGGCTTCTGCCTGTCTGCCTATCCCCCACCTCTCATGCTCCAACCAGGATTAAGTGACAGGTAGCATCTGTGATAGGTCCTGCCTTCTCTCGTTTCTGGTCGTCGTATATGATGTTCCCTGTGCCTGGAACATACTTAGGCATCCTTCCACTCAGCCTGGCTAAGTTTTCCTTCTTTAAGTCTCGGCAAATCCCTTACCACCTCCAGGAGGCCTTTCTCTAACCCACCATAGCAAGCGTGCTTCCTGTGTTCCCCAAAGCCCAGCGCAGCACATCTGAACCTCACGGCCACAGTTACTTCCGCCAGCCCCGGGGAAGCCTTTTCCCATGTGTGTGTCTCCAGCCTGCCCAGAGCCCAGGGCACAGAAAGGGCTCCGCGCAAAGTAGCTGAACCCCAAGCATGACAGCCCCCTCCCACCAGCTTCCCAGACCTGACCTGCGAGGTGTCCACATCGAAGAAGCTCTGATAGTAGCTAAAGGTCCAGAATCCCGGCTGCGGCTGCTGCTCCTGTAGAAGCTGCACAGGGTGGGCTTTCAGTCCTGCCCTCCCCGCCCGGGCCGACCAGGGGCTGGAGGACGGGGGGCACAGGGACTCACGGGACTCACCGCGGTCTTGTCGCTCTCCACCTCGTCCTCGGCTCCATAGCCACCACCTGAGCCCACGGCCACAGCTACCTGCCCCTCTGGGGTCCGCGGGTCACTTCTGCTGATAGTGGTCACATCTGGGGTCTCGGACAGAAGGTTAGTAGCTTCCTCGAACTCTGTCGGGAATAAGTATGGGACACAGGCATGTTGGGGGGGGGGGTCACGACAATTTGGTTTGGCCCAAGGGGACCAAGACTCTAACCGTAGCGCCCTCGGTGCGCTCCCCAACGTGGGGCCAGGCTTCCTCGATTCGGGAGTGGGAAGGAGCTGAGTTCCCTCACGTCTAACAAGGATGGTAACTGGGGGCTGGTGCCGGGACGGGGTCGGGGCTGAGTAGCGACTCCGGTTTGAGGTCGGAGTTCAGGACTGGAGCGGAGTTCGAGTTAGAGCTGAGTCAGGACAGACAGCTGACGGCGGCTCGGGTCCGATATGAGTTAGGACTTGGATGCGAGGTTCTGGCCAGAGGGGGAGGAGGTCGGGCCAGATCACAGGCGCACTCACCATGGAAGGCCAGCTCGTCGGCCGCAGCCATGGTTGCTCAGGGGCGTCTCCGCATCCCGCGCTGAAGACAGAGGCCAATCAGGTCTGTACGCAATCCCACTCGGCGTCCTCCCGGGGTTTATCCCTCCGCACCCGCCGGGCCAGGCGGTAAACGGTCCCCGCTTGGGCGTGAATTCGCCGACCCTACACACAGGTGCAACCCGCCCTCCTCACCGGAGGCCGTCGCAGTCGGCGTGGCCAGGGATTTCTGCGCCTGCGCGGCCGGCCTACGGGCCAGTCAATCCCACTCGTCCCAGAGAGCAACATCCGGCGCCGGTCCGTTTTCTATCCTCTTCCGATGGGAAGCCACTACCGGCAACATTGACGCCTGCGCAGATGAGACTCCCGGGCCTTTACCTTCGCGTAACTGTTGTTTCCCTTCGGAAAACAGACGTCAAGCCGGAAGGGGATGGCGGCGGCGACTCTGAAGCGACTTTGGTTGCGAAGCCGCGGAGAGGCAGGGGTCGCGGCAACCGCGAAGCCAGGCGTGTGGACGAGGTTGGGTGAGTACGGCGGGCGGGTGGCTGCAGCGGCGAGAGGCGCGGGGTGAGTGGCCACAGCCCCGACCCCTCTCACCGCTTCTTTCC